GAGGGAAGGAAGGAGGGAGGGATCTAGTTGGAGAATGGGTCCTTGGAATTTCTGACCTGAGCTGCTGTTTCCGCCTCATGCTCTCCGCTATGATGTTCTGCCACACTATGGGTACAGAAGCAACAGAGCCAAGTAACCATGGACTGAAATTTATGAAACCATTTGGTGAAATAAACCTTTCCTTATTTTTAAAGGTACTTTGTCACAATAGAAGGCTAGCTAACATCTCTGAGTTCGAGGCCAGCCTGGGCTACACAGAGAGCTCCAGGCCAGCCATTGAGAGCTTCAGGCCAGCCACGGCTATATAGTGAGACCATGTCTCAAAAAACCAAAACCAAAATCAAACCGAAGTATAGCTGCTAAATCCCCAAGAAATAACTTATTGAACCATACACCTATTAAACAATTCTCCTTCCTCCTCTTTTTAAAAAGAGATGATCCAAACTCTTGGACTTGAGATGATCTGGCTTCAGCCTCTGGAGTACCTGGGACTATAGGCACATGCTAGTGCATATGGCTTCCCTCTTAAAGTTCTGCTTAATTTAAAAGACACGAGATGTCCTACTTCTAGTTAGACAATTCCCCACCACCCAGGCCTCTCCTACATGGTTAGAAGAAAAAAAAAGAACATGAAATCACTACTGCAAACTAGGAACAAGAATAGTTTCTCTTGAGGCCTGAAGGTTCAGATCAGAAAAACAGGGGGAGCTGGGCCAGAGTTCCTGGAGAAAGCAATTGGTAAACTACGTGTGAGGCGTTTCCAAATAAACTTCAAACTTAGTAGCAGCAGGGGCTGAGACAGCTGAGCCTAAAACTCCTCAGGTGCAGCTGAGACCAGGCTACGGCACAAACACGTGATCCCAATAGTTTAACTCTGCATTCCTCCAGCTCAAGTCCATCCCAGGGGCAGGCAGTTGACGTCTCCCCCAAGGGGCAAGACTGGTACTGTTGTTGCTTCCACTGTGTGATTCATATAGGCATCACAGGAGAACGCCCACCTTCACAGTAGGCTACCATGGCAGCCTAACCAGGAAGCAACAGAGATGAGGCAAGAGAGACGCAGGGGGATGTTTAATTTACATAGCAGCCATGTAGGGCCCTGTTAAACTGGGCAGTGGGGTATTTATAATCCCAGATGACATCCCCTATCCCTTTTCCTTGGGACACAGTCCTCACAGGCCCTTGGACAGGTCTCCCCACATTGTGCAGAGGACGTTCCAGTTAAAATGCAAAGAGAAATTTGGGGAATAAGGCTGTCCCCAAATAGAGAAAGTCCTAAGCCTGGAGTTGGTTGCCTACATGGTAGCCCAGGGGTCTGCAAGACCAGTCCATGTCCTAGGCACAGTCCTCAATCAGCCTGGTGGTCCTAGAGGAAGCCCTCTCGGCGGAACTGTTCTTGGAGGAGGGCACGGTACTGATCAAATCCTCCCTCGACCCGGGTGACACTGCCTCTCTCACACACCCACAACTCCTGGCACACCAGCCGAATGAGGCGCTCATCATGAGATACGAGAATGACGCCACCCTGAAAGACAGAAGAGGAGGTGCTCAAGGGAACAGACATCAAGTTCGGGGTGGGGGCAGTGAGACTGAAGCCTGGGGAGAAGCAGTCAATGCTAAAGTATACTCACCCTGAAGTTGTTGAGAGCACGGCCCAGAGCCTCAATTGTCTCCATGTCCAGGTGGTTTGTGGGTTCATCCAGAATATAGAAATTGGGGCTAGAAGGCAGAACACAAGAAGGTAAGGAGCTATGAGATAGGGTGGGGTAGGAGAAAATGAATCCCTATGGAACAAAAATAATCATTTTGTCCTGGGCAAGAAGGGGAAATGAGAAGGCAAGAACTCAAGAAAACAAGGCCTTACCAGGGCATGGTCATTTGAGCAAAGGCCACCCGGCTCTTCTGGCCCCCAGATAAGCTTGCAACAGGGCGCATAGCCAGTTCTCCAGAGATGCCATACCGGCCCAACTGGTGACGATATTCCTCTTCAGGGCGCCCTGGAAAAGGCCCCCATCAGATGGGCTCTTGGCGAACTCCTTCATTTATTCCCTAGCCCTGATTTTCAATACCCATGTCCTTATACCTAGACTTGGGTAGGCTGCTCTACACCAACCCCAAGGCAGGCCGAGCTGCAAGGGTTAGCTGGACCCTCGTCTCAAATCCTATCCCTAACACACCAGGAAACTTGCGTGCCAGGAGCTCCACAGCACTGACATTCAGGTCTAGCTGCTCCACATGGTGCTGGCTGAAGTAGCCAATCTTCAGATTCCTGTAGGCAGAAGTGAAGGCAGAAGGCACTGACTCTAAAGGGGCATAGGTCGTGTCCGAGTATAGGAGTGTGTACATGCAATTGCTGGGGAGGATCCCTTACCTGTGGGCATGCCTGACACCCCGAATAGGAGCCAGGTCCCCCATGAGCAGCTTCAGCATAGTAGACTTCCCAGTGCCATTCTCTCCAACCTGCAAGATGCATGAGCATGTCAGCAAGTGTGCATATGTGAAACACAGACAGGAGTAGGGAGGAGGGAACCTGTAGTCTCAATCATTCCTACAACCAAAAACTCTAAGGAACTAGGCATGTAGGGCCACAAAGGGAACCAATATCTGAATACTTGCTAAGGGGTGAGGGTTACTCCTCCCAATAACAAGGAAGAGGCTATCCCCCATTTCTTTTTCTTTTGGGGGGAGGATCTTTTTGAGTTAGGGTCTCCTTGCAGCCCCAGCTGGCCTGGAACTATGTAGATCAGGCTGGACTTGATCTCACAGAGATTCGCCTGTCTCTGCCTCCCGAGTGCTGGGATAAAAGGCGTGAGCCACCATGCCTGGCTTATCCCCCACTTCTTTTCATATTTGAGAGCACATGTGTGAAAGTACATGTATGTATGTATGTATGTATACCCAAGATAGATATCAGATGTCTTCCTCAATCACTCTTCACCTTAGATGTTGAGGAAGGGTCTCTCACTGAACCCAGAGCTCACCATTTTGTCTAATCTGGCTAGCCACTTTGCTCTGGATAGTCCTTGTCTCCACTTTTCTTGCGCACAGGATTGTAGGAGGGCTGCCACACCCACCTGACTTGAATGTAGGTTCTGGGGCCTGAGTTCTGGTCTTCATGTTTGGGCATCAAGCACATTACCTGCTGTGCTAGGTCCTCTTACCTCTCTTTTGAGGAAAAGGAAACTTCCTAGAATCAGGCTAGGAAATGGTGTATCCTGACTCTACTTATGCTCTTGCTTTAATGTCCCATGACTGAAATAACTCAGAACAAGAACAGTGAGGTAAATCACTGCTCTGTGTATTTATAAAATGCCATATGCCAGGCTTCTCATTTCTGAGGGTGGCCCTGTAGGCTAGAGAGGACAAAGCAGCAGTATGAGCATAATTTCCTTCGCCCAGGTCCCACCTATTTCTCTGTACTCCTCGTATAGCCTCAGGATTGGCTCAATCCACACTTGCTAGTAGGGTAGGAAACTCCCAGGACACAGAATGGAGAGGAAAAACCATACCACGCATATGCGAGACTCAAGATCAGCAGAGACAGACAGACGACTGAAGATGATGTGTTTAGGATCGTAGTAGAAATCCACCTCATCTAGCTGCAGAATTGGCGGTGAAAACTTCTCAAACCCATCTGGAAACCTGCAGGAAGTGAAGTGCACAGTGTGGACGGGCCCAGAAAGAGAAGTGTCCGTTAGATCCCTCGGCTTAGAACTCACTTCATCACCACCTCTGATTCTTTGTCCACTGGCTTCAGCTCGGGTCTAAGAGGAGAGAGAGAAAAATGATTACTTTAAGAGTAAATTTAAGGGCTGAAGAGATAGCTCAGCGGTTAAGAGTACTGACTACTCTTGCAGAGGACCCGGGTTCAATTCCCAGCACCATGGCAGCTAAGAACCATCCTTAACTCCAGTTCCAAGGGAATCCGAAGCCCTCTTCTCACCTCTGGGGCATTGCACAACACGGGTGCACTCATATACATGCAGGAAATACACTCGTACACATGCAATAAAAATAATAAATAAAGGGCTGTGCGTGGTGGCGCACACCTTTAATCCCAGTACTCGGGAGGCAGAGGCAGGTGGATCTCTGTGAATTCAAGGCCAGCTTGGTCTACATAGTGAGTTCCAGGACAGCTAGGGCTACAGGGGGACCATGTCAAAGTCAAAAAAGAACAAAAATAAGGGCTGGAGAAAAGGCTCAGCAGTTGAGGTCATTGGCTGCTGTTGCAGAAGCCAATGCTTCTGGGGCTTGGTTACCAGATCCCACATGATTGCTAACAACTGGCTGTAACTCCAGTTCCAGGAGATTCCATGCCCTTTTCTGGCCTCCGTGGGCATTTTATGTAGAAATGTACTTACATGCATGCAGGCAAAACACTCATATACAAAATAGAAATGAATATTTTTTTTATTTAAAAATAAATATGAGCTGGGCGTAGAGGCACACGCCTTTGATCCCAGCACTCAGAAGCAGAGGCAGGCAGATCTCTGTGAGTTGGAGGCCCGCCTGGTCTACAGAGGGCGTTCCAGGCCAGTTGTGGCTGCAGGGAGACCCTGTCTCAAAAAGACTAAAAGACTCAAAAAAAAAAAAAATTGGTCTGGAGAGATGGCCCAGCTGGTAAGAGCACTGACTGCTCTTGCAGAGGAACATGGGTGCACCTACCTACATGCAGGCAATATACTCATACACATAAAATAAAAATAATAAAATATTAAAAATAAATAAGGATTTTGGGGGGGGCGTGGGTCTTGAGACAGGGTCTCCCTGTAGTCCCAGCTGGCTTGGAGCTCACTATGTAGAGCAGAGTGGCCTTGAACTCACAGAGATCCACTTGCCTCTGCCTCCAAGTGCTGGGATTGAAAGTGTATTACCATCATGCCCGGCTGTTATTTTTTTAAATCTTTTTACAGAATTAAAAAAAATCTATTTTATTTATTATTTTTATGTGTATGAGTGTTATGCCTGCATGTAGGTAAGTGCACCCATGTCCTGCAAGGCCTGGGGAGGTCAGAAGAGGCTGTCGGATCCCCTGGAACTGGAGTTACAGACAGCTGTTAGCTGTCATGTAGGTGCTGGGATTCGAACCCAGGTCTTCTGCAAGAACAGTGTTCTTAACTGCTGAGCTCCTTTTTTTTAAATCTTAAAAATTAAAATAAATAACAAGAAAAGGTAGGCCAGGTTACTTAGCTACATTATGAGAAAGCTTGTCACAAAAACAAAAACAAAAACAAACAAACAAAACAACCCTCAAAAACACCCAACTTTAAGCTAGGTATGGTACACGCCCATAATCTTACCATTTAGAAGGCCAGGACAGGATAGCAAGCTGCAGACCAGCCTGGGCTACAAAGTGAGACCTACAGAGTCCCACCTTCTACCCCAAACCCTACTTTATTATAACTAGGGTTGTAGCTCAGTTGTAGAGCACTTGCCTAGTTTGTATGAAGCTCTGAGTTCAATCCCCAGCATCCGGGGTGGGGGAGGCAAGAAGAAGCTGAAGGGAACTAGAGTAACAGCTCAGCGGTTAAGAGCACTTCCTTTTCTTGCTGAGGACCCAGTACTCACATGGCAGCTAACAACTGTCTATAACTCCAGTTCCAGGGATCTGACTCCCTCTTCTGACCTCCATGTATATGCACACATGTGGTGCACTTATATACATACAGGCAAAACATTCAAACACAAAAAATAAAAATAAATTAAAAAATTTTATCTACCTTAAGGGTCTGGAGAGATGGCTCAACAGGTAAGAGCACTGACTGCTCTTGCAGAGGACCTGGGTTCGATTCTCAGCACCCACATGGCGACTACAAATAGTCTTTAACTCCAGTTCCAGGGGAATCCAAAGCCCTCTTCTGACTTCTGTGGCATTGCATGACTCGGGTGCACTCACATACATGCAGGCAATACACTCATACACATAAAATAAAAATTAAAAAAAATTTTTTTTAAATCTACCTAAGTTTTATCTACATAGCACATGGTAAGTAAGAGTACCAGATTGGTGTAACTAACCTTCTTGGGTGTTTAACAGCCATACTTTGAGGCCTGTACTAATCTGGTCAGAGGGACTTGCCCTACAAGGTCAACTCCAGGGGACTATAGCGCATCTCTCGAAATGTCCTGTAACTGTGGTGGTCACCTGTCCTCTTGTTTAGGGAGGCCATGGAGACCTCACCAGATGGGCTTGAACCAGTGTCCAGTCTGCAAAGAGGAGGGTCAAACACAGAGGAAAGCATTTCCTCACAACTTCCAAGTGAAGCCAGCCATGGTTGAGCAGGACCTTTGACTTATCCTCAAATAGACGGAACTGGTAAAAGGAAGGCCTAAGGAGCCCGGGGCTCCTCCTAAGCCCATGTGACCCCTGAGGACCAGATCCTCAACTGACCCTAAAAGTAAAAGTAAATTAATTTGGGCCAACTGCATGGTCTTAAACACCCAAAATGAAAAGTATAACCAAAAATTCAAGTAATAAGTATATTTCTTTAAGAGTCCAAAGGATTGCATTTCCCAGACATTAGACTTAAGTTCATATAAAATATTATTTAAACAATTATTTCTCATTAATGATTTTGTTCTTAACAAGAATGTTCAGGTATAAGACTTCAAATCTTGGTCTACAATACTGTAGTGCCTGTCTGCAGCTAAGGGAGACAACCCAGTATTGTTCTAAAAATGATGGCTGAATTTAGTTTCTCTCCCTGTCTAGAAGTCATTTAAAAGAAAACTGATTCACCCAGCATGGTGGTGCACGCCTTTAATCCCAGCACTTGGGAGGCAGAGGCAGGTGGATCTCTGTGAGTTCAAGGCCAGCCTGGTTTACATAGTGAGTTCCAGGACAGCTGGGGCTACAGGGAGACCCTGTCTCAAAAAGACCAAAAAGAAACAAAAAGATAGAAAACTGATTCTAGCCACTCCAACAGCTATTAAAGTGCCTGAAAACAAATCATGAGCTCATCGCTTCTGAGTCCAGCCTTGGCAGCCAAAAGGAAAATGTGGAGGAATCCAATAAATGGATGCTTTTGGAAGCCCTCTTCAGGAAATTCTAATGGACTTTAATTTGGACATTTAAAATTTGCCCTGTTCTAACCTTTTCTGGTTCCTTGTCTAGAACTTGTAATGCTAACTACTCTTGCCTACTTCTCCTTCACATCTCCCAGGCACTGGTCAAGGACTTTCTTTACTCCCTACAGTTAAGAGTTATACAATTTGGGAGTCTTTTAGATAGACCCACTGAAGGGGGTACCCCAATTGTCTCACTCTGCATCATCCCTGTTCAGCATCGAAGAAACCAGAGTGGTCTTTGTCCCAATTCCCCACTGGCCAATTTGGGGTAACCACTTCAGGGGATGGGATAATAAAAATAAGGAGGCAGAAATTGGCTAGGCAGTCAGGGCAAAAAGACCCCAAAGAAAAGTAGCTAGTTTCTTGACTAAAAGTCAAAATGTCCTTGGGTCTCTTAGCAGCCTGGTCTGTATCAAAGTCCAGAAATATCAAAAGTATTTAAGTGCTTCTGTCTAATCCCTAAAATTTAAAGGTTACCTCTTCAGAGGAGGGGAAATGTTAGAGCAACATTTAGCCCCATAAGTTCTCAGGAAACCTGGGTTCACTCTTTTAGGCCCCTGAAACCACTTGCTGGGCACGCACCTTCAGTCTCACTAAGTACGTAACTACAGAATAGCTAGAATGGGACTCTCACCACGGAGACGTGTGCGTACTGGGCCATGTTCTCCCCTACACTGAAAAACAAATTTGTTTTAGGCTTCTAAGCACTCAGATAGAGACAATGGGCATCCATAGGACTCCATCAGCAGTTAGGACAGGTTAACTCCCTAGCTAAAATGGTGCTACAAAACAGAAGAGGGCTGGACCTACTGTTCCTAAAGGAAGATGGCTCATACATGGTGAGGTTTGCTGGTTTTTGTTTTTTTTTAAATAATTAATTTTTTTAATTTTACGTGTATGAGTGTATTGTCTGCATGTATGTGAGTGCACCTGTATCGTGCAATGCTGCAGAGGTCAGAAGAGGGCTTCGGATTCCCCTGGAACTGGAGTTAAGGACGGTTTGTAGCCGCCATGTGGGTGCTGGGAATTGAACCTGGGTCCTCTGCAAGAGCAGTCAGTGCTCTTAACCGCTGAGCCATCTCTCCAGCCCCAAGGTTTGCTGTTTTTATACCAATAATTCAGGTGTAATTGAGTTTTACTGGGAGTCTGGTAATATTCCTATTAGCTTTTATGGTGGGCCCATGCCTCCTAAACTGTCTAACTGGATAGATTAAGAGGTGTCCAAATGCCATCAAATTAGGGTTCTAAGGACCCAAAATGAGCCTCAAAATCAAAACAAGTCAAAGATTTGACTTATGTCCCAGAGCCAGTGGGGAATACCCCAAGTGCCTCCATTTTATGTAAGTTTAACTGGTCAATCATCTGGTCATAGGACCACTCCTAGGAAGGCAGGTTATGCTAAATAGATGGGCGGAATACCTAGTGTGTTAATGAGATAGAGACTTTTTCCTGCCTGTAATCTTGTGGGGAGAGAGGCACAGAACTTGCTGGCTACAGCCATGTAGCCACGTAGTCTATGAGTTGCCAGCTCCCCTGAATTCTTCAGGGAAGAGTGATTTCCCTTCTTCTTCTTCATGCTTTTCTTACTGAACATGCTTTCTTTAAGGCTTTGGGCTACCCCTATTATCTTGCATTTCTTTACTTTCTCTAAAGCTGCTTCTCCCAGCCATGTGGCTACTAGTCAGCCACGTGTCTGACCTCTCAGGCAGGCTCTAAACCTGCATGGCCTCATGGCTCTTTCTTCTTACCATTCGCCTCCTCAAGGCAGAGGCCGCTGGGCATGGTGGTGCATGCCTGTAGTCCCAGCACTTGGGAGGCAGAGGTAGGCGGATCTCTGTGAGTTCAAGGCCAGCCTGGTCTACATAGTGAGTTCCAGGACAGCTGGGGCCGCAAGGAAACCCTGCTTCAAAAAAAAAAAAGATCAAGGCAGAGGCCAAGATTACCAGCTTGCCTGCCCTGAGGACCTTTTTTTCTTTAAAATTCTAATAAAACTGTAAAAGCTTGAAAAAAAAAAAAAAAAGGAAAAACAGCTGGATAAAGTGGTGCTTTCCTCTAAGCCCAACACTTAGAAGAGGTGAGTTTGAGGCACAGCAGGATCATGCCTCAAAGAAAAAATCTGATGGGTGCTAGAGAGTGAGTCCCTGTTCCTAAGAAATTTTAATAAAATTTTTTTAAAAAAATCAACAATTGAGCTGGGTGTGGTGCACATGCCTTTTAGTCCCAGCACTCAGGAGGCAGAGGCAGGAGGATCTCTATGAGTTCAAGGCCAGCCTGGTTTACATAGTGAGTTCCAGGGCAGCTGGGGCTACAGGTAGACCCCGTGTCAAAAAAACCAAAAAAAAAAAAAAAAAAATTAAAATTAAAAAAAAAATCCAAAACAACGCCCCCCCCAATAAAACCCCACAATGAGTTATTAATTTTCATTCATTAGGATGGTTGCAACTATAGAGTTAAGAACAAATGTTGGCAAAGATGTGGAAAAACTGTAGGTCTCATACATTGGTGGTAGGAATGAAAAATAATGCATCTGTTTTAAAAACTAGTCTGGCACACCAAGAGCGGTGGTGGTAGGTAGTGCCAGCACTTGGGAGGCAGATGCAGGAGCACCTAGACTTCCTGGTTAGCCTGGGCCATAAATTAAGATCCTATCTCAAAACACAAAAACCAAAAAACCAGATCTGCCAGTGGCTTGGGGATATAGCTCAGTTAGTAGAGTTCTTGCCTAGTATGCACGAAGTCCTGGGATCAATCTCTAACACTGTCTAAATCAGGTGTGGTGGTGTATGCCTATAATCCCAGCACTTGGGAGGCAGAGGCCAAAGGACCAGGAGTTCTTGGCTGCATAAGAGTTTGAAGCTAGTTTAAGCTACAAAAGACCCTATCTCAAACAAAAGCAAACCTCGTCTAGCAGATACTTGAACATTAGATTACCATGTAAACTAGCAAATCCACTCCTAGATATGTACCCAAGTAAAAGGAAAACGCATGTTCACAAAAACGTCTGTAGAGGCTGGAAAAATGGCTACGTAGTTAAGAGCACTGGCTGCTCTTGCAGAGGACTGAGGATCAGTTCCCCAGCAACAGATGGTGGCTAACAACTATCAGCAACTCCAGTTCCAGGGAATCTAATGCCCTCTTCTGGCCTCTGCAGGTGTAGTGCACCGGCATGCATGCAAAATCTTCATACACATAAAATGAAAATAAATAAAATTTTTAAAAATTTGCTGGGCTTGGTGGTGCAAGCCTTTAATCCCAGCACTCCAGAGGCAGAGACAGGTGGATCTCTGTGTGATGAAGGCCAGCCTGGTCTAGTAGTGAGTTCTAGGCCAGCTGTGGCTAGGGAAACACTATCTCAAAAAGAACCCCCCATTTGTTTTTTTAATTTAAAAAGTATATTTTTAAATATGTACATAAATGTTCACTGCACGTCAATTGTGGTAGCTCACATCTGTAATCTCTATACTTAGGAGGCTGGAGCAGGAGGATTTGTTGTGAATCTGAAGCCAGTCAAGGCTACAGATTGAGTCCTTGTCTCAACCCCCACAATTCCCTGCCAAAAGTTCATTGAAACATCCTATTTTACCTAATAAGCAAAATAGAAATAACTCAATGTCCACTACTTGATGAATCAATAACAAAAATGTGTTAAAAATCACACAATGGAATATTATTCAACCACAAAAAGAAATGAAATATTAATGTATGCTACATGAATGACCCTGTAAAATACTGTAGGTGAAGAACCTAGACATGAGTGAGAATACGGTTTAGTGGGAGAGCATTTGCCTAGCATGCCTGAGGCCCGCGGCTTAACCTTTAGTATGGGGGTGGAGGTGGGGAGAAAGGACAAAGAAGCAGACTTTGACAATCATAAACTGAATGAATCCATTTACATGAAATATTCAGAGACAATATAGAGACAGACTGATTTGTCAAGATTGTGTAAAATATTCTGCTTTCTTGCCAGAAGGAAGTAAAAGCTGGCTGCTAGCCAAGGAGCGATCTAGAATGGGAGGATAAAGGGTAGCTTGCAAAATAAGGGAAGAAAAGAGGAGTCAGGGTTTGGTCAAGAACATTATACTCACAGTTTTTCTAGCATCTTGAGTTTACTCTGTACTTGAGAGGCTCTGTTGGCATTGTAGCGAAAACGGTCAATGAAAACCTACAAGAGTAGAGTGGGCACTGGTCAAATTCCCTCACCACTCCTAACTCCGATATGGGACCCATAGTTCTGTCTGCCCCCACACCTGGATGTGCTGGCGATACTGCTGCTGTGCCTCATATTCACGCTGTTGATTGAGTAGCCGCTCCTGCTTGCTCTTGATGAAGGATTCAAAGTCCCCCCGGTAACCATCTAGCCGTTGGCTGTGCAGATGGATGATGTCTGTGGCGATGGCATTTAAGAAGTTGCGGTCATGAGAGACGACTAGGATTGTGGAGGGCCATGTCTGAGGAGTAACAGGATGGCAGGCTCAATTTGGGAGGAGAACTGGCCCTCAAACCCACCCCCCGAGCCTTCCCTAAACTCACCTGCAGGTAATTCTCAAGCCACAGGATGGCCCGTACATCCAGCATGTTTGTGGGTTCTAGAGAGAAAGGAAGAAAGCACATACTTGGGATTGAAGGGCTGGAGACCTTGGCTAGGACCAAGGAAGTCATCATCCTTATCCAGCCCCAAAGTCAGGGTGGTTCATTCAAACTCACCATCTAACAGCAGAAGATCTGGCCTATGAAAAATAACACATGGCATGAAGTTTTAGGACAGAGACTCAATAGTTATGTCCCAAGAGTCACAGACGATAGTGCTCCATTCATAGGTGAAGGAGACTCACCTGGCAAACAGAGCCCGGGCTAGGGCCAATCTCATCCTCCAGCCACCTGAGAACTCCCTATTGACAAGAGAGACACATTAGGGGTGGGTATTCATCAGGGTAAGTAGGGGCAGAATTAACCATTTTCAGAGTCAAGAATGGAAAATTCACTCACTTGGTAGGCTGCTGCTGCATTTTGGGGGTAAAACCAAGCCCTGCAAGAATGACTGATGCTCTAGGAATTAAAAAAAAAAAAGGAACTCGGAATAGTTCACACGAGAGAAAGGTAAAACAAAGGCTAGGCATAGTGGTACATGTCTTTAATCCCAGCACTTGAGAGGCAGAGGCAGGTGGAGCTCTGTGAGTTTGAGACCAGCCCCATTTACATATCAAGTTTCAGGCCAGCCCTAGGTTACAGAGACCCTTTCTCAAAAGAAAAAAAAGAAAAAGAAAGAAAGAAGAGGAAGTGAGCCTGGTGTGGTGGTGCATACCTTTTAAAAAATATTTATTATTTTTATTTTGTGTATGAGTGTACTGCCTGCATGTATGTGAGTGCACCTGTGCCATGCAATGCCTCGGAGGTCAGAAGAGGGCTTCGGATTCCCCGGTACTGGAGTTAGGACAGTTCATAGCCGCTAACGTGAGTGCTGGGAATCGAACCCGGGTCTTCTACAAGAGCAGTCAGTGCTCTTAACTGCTGAGCCATTTCTCCAGCCCAGTGTGCACCTTTAATCCCAGTATTCAAAAGTCAGAGACAGGTGGATCTCTATGAGACAGAGGCCAGCCTGTTTACATAGTGAGTTCCAGGCCAAGCCAGTTGGGGTTCCAGAGAAACCCTATAAAAGACAAACAAAAACAAAAACAAAAAAACAGAGGAAGTAGGAATTTTTAATACCTGGCAGGAGCCTTATCAGCTTCAATCTCTTCCAGTTTGGTATAAATTTCTGCCAGCTGTGCAGCTTCTGAGCCCTCTGTCCTGGGAAGGAGAAAAAAACCAGCCTAAGTCAGTCTAAGAGGACTTCCTGTACCCTCTACAATTGGAAAGCAGGCACAGTATCACATCCCAAGCTCTACTGCTCACTAGGATGGCCATGTGAATTATGGAGGACATGCCATAAAGGACAGCTACTGCTTGTATTTGCTAGCCTGAAGCCTTCACCTGCCAGCAGCAATCTTGACACTGAGTTCTCGTTCTCGCCGTAGCAGATCCTCCCGTATATTATCACTCTCCAGCATACTCTGCAGGGCAGGGGTGTCATCTCCAGCAACCTCCTGCTCCACATGTAGCAGGGAAATATGGGCTGGAACTCGCAGGCTCCTAGTGGCTAGCATCTTTAGCAGTGTTGTCTTCCCGAGACCATTTCGTCCCACCAGCCCATAGCGGCGTCCCCATGCCAAGTTCACATCTGCTCCAGCCAGCAGTACCCTGTAGGAGTGGTAGAAAGGAGACAAAGAATGCTCTAGAAACAGGTACAAAGCAACTTTAACCATATGATCCTAACACTGTTTTAGCCCATTTCATCTCTCCAGATTCTCCCTTAATTAGAAAAAGCATGTCACCTGTCATTCCCTCACCTATCGCCGAAAGACACATCAAAGTTCTCAATTCGAACATCATAGGACTTGTTCTTGCCAGATGATTCCAACCGACTCTCCTTTCTGCTGCCTGCCTGGCTAGCTGATGCCTCCTCCAAGACTCTTTTAAAGAGAAAAATGGATAGCTTTTAGGGCTCCCAATTACCCTTCAGTACCATCAGAAATTGCTCTGCTCTCTTCTGAGCCCTTCTTCCTAAACTCACGGGGGGTTGGTGGTCTTCAGTGTTTCCTTCTCTGAGCGCTTCTCCTGCTTTGCCTTCAGCCGCGCTTCGGCCTTTTCTAGTTTCTTTGCATTCACAGTCTGAGTAAATTCCAAACACAACCACTTCATACCAGGGTGTAGGTTCAGAAAGGAACCCCAGAGAATCACTTTAACCTCATTAACTTACCCATGATGAACAGAACTAAAGATTCAGGGAATGACATCAGAACCCTCCCACAAAGATACTCCCAATAATAGTTAGACATGAACTCTCACACCCACCATAGACACGACCCCCTCCCTTTCTTCTCCTCACCGAGGACTGTTCCCTCTTTAGCAGTCCTGGAAGTTTGGTGTCACAGTCTGTAAGTGATAAGAAAAGCAGTCACCTTCTCCATGAGGGAAGGGAAACTATCATTTTGAGTGACTAATAAGAATCAAGAACAGAGAGGTTTTTAAGAAAGTGTTACAATACTGGAATAGATGGCTATCATCCTTGAATTCAATAAGAAAAAAATCTCACATGTAAGGACACAGAGGCTGAGGCACACAAACTCTTATAAGATCATGCTGTTGGTTAGTAAGGTGCAAAATTGGTGAAACCAAGTTTGTTTAGCTCCAAGGTCTATATGCTTCTTACAATAGCCAATAGCTTGGAGAATCCTCCAAACCCTACTCTCGTCCTATTTTATGATCACAGAAATATCACTAGCTCCTACAAGTCTAGTCCTGTAGAAAAGAAATGGAGTCCTGAGCTGCAAGGAGCAGATGGCTGGGGGGTGGAGACAACAGGCAACTAGTTTGATCTCCCCTCACTCTCACCGTAGTTCTCCATTATTTTTGACAACTGGATGGGCGCGTCCAGTAGCACCTGGCTGTTTCCCTGGTTCTGTGGCTCAGCCCTACGTGGGTAGGGATAGAAAACAGGAGTTGAGACCTTTGCCCTCCACCTCTTGTTTGCACGCCATTCACCTCCCTATGCCTTTATCAATCCCATTTCCTGGCACTTACAGGCGTAGAGTGTTGTACATACGCTGACACACAGCCCTGATGCCCGCGTCATCCTTGCTGTCCCCGGACACTTCTTGCAATAGTTCCCCCACAGCTTCTACCAGGTCATCCACAGACTCAAAGTCCGCGCTGCCGCTGTGTAAGACGCCTGGACCGAGTATGGCAGAACAAGGAAGACAGGGGTAGGGCGGATATACAGGCAGTTTTAGTGTCCGAGCCCAGTTAGCGCTCCAGACCCAACCGGCCCTCGGGAGGTCACACAGAGGAGAGGCCTGGAAGCCATCTGCCGAACTACCCGTCCTTAGTCTTCTCCCATGACTTCCACTTCGGCTTCCCCAGCCCGTTAATTCAGTTTCGCTCACCGGTCACGTAGTCGAAGACCTGTCCGTCAATTTCTGGGAACTCGCTCCGCAGGATGTCGGCGCAGGTCGCCATGATTCACTAGGGATCCAGTCTGCGCAGTCGCAGGGAGACCTAGGTCCTCCGAGCGGGCTGTCCTCCCACAGCGCATGAGCAGCAATGACCGAAGACCCGCGAGGCCATAGGGGGAGGGCGGGGCCGGTGAAACTGCGCAAGCGCCGTGATGATGGCAGGCCCTCGCGCCTGCGCACTGCTTGTTCCTAGGAGCCGCTACTAGAGCGGCTCCTGTTGCTCCTCCGGAGGGTGAGGCGGGGTGGCCCAAGCGCTAGGTGCGGAGGTCCAGCAGGCAGTGTCGGAGGACCCGGTGGGGTAAGGCCGCGGGGCCAGATCCAAGGACCCGTTGCTGCACGGCGGGCTCCGCTGCCCGCCCTCCCTAAGGCCAATCCGAAGGACGCCGTTCTGCAGACTCGCGCGGGATCCGAGCTCTCTGCCCGTTTTGTTTCGTCCAGGTATTTTCTTGGAGATGGCCAGCCTTCCACCCACTCCCCTCTCTAACCCGGTGCTCAGTTCCTGTCACAGTTAGTTCAACCGATTACTAAGAATTAGAACATTCAGTTCTTCCACTACCCCGAGGCACAAATTTCACCCACTGCCAGAGGGCAACAAAACCAGATCAACAAGGCCTTATATTGTTTATTCCAGGCCCAGAGACAAAGCAAATTTGCAGATTTTCTTACATCCTGCATCAGTGTCTGTAAAAGGCGATTCCCCTTCTCCCTATGGATTTCGTCAGAAGTTAAAGACTTTGCTCCTAAATGACACTACTGCTACTAATAGTCTTCCAAATACGCTAAAATTGGCATCTAAAATCACATTAGTATTTTTTTTTTCTTTTTGAGACAATCTTGCTACGTATCCCAGGTTAGTCTAGAACTCCTGATCATTCTGTCTCCCAAATGCTGGGATTGCAAGCATGTGTCACCACACTGAACTGCCCATTCATCTGTATTAAGCACTGCCACGGTAAGGTGCCAGTTTCCCTATTTAGAGTGTAAAAAAAGCCATTCAGGAGGCTAAAGAGATGGCTTAAAGGCTGGAAACTCCAGTTGGGGGATCCATCGCCCTCCTCTGGCCTCCTTCAGGCACCAGGCACAGTTAAATAAAACCTTGGGAGTTGGCCACCTTTAATCTCAGCACCTTCAGGAGGCAGATGGATCTCTGTGAATTCCAGGTAGGCCAGGAGCTGCATGATGAGACCCTGCCTAAAAACCAAGCAACCAACCAACTAACCAACCAAAAAAAAGGCCACTGAATGGCTTAGTAGAGTGCTTGCCTTGCATGAATGCGGCCTTCATGCTGCTAGATCCCTAGCATCTCATAAATACAAACCTACACCCCATGCCTATAAGCCCTGTATAGTGCTGGTAGAGACAAGAGGATCGAGAGTTCAGAGTCCGGTGCTGTAGAAGTGGCTCAAGGGTTAAGAGTACTTGCTGTTCTCCCAGAGGACTCAGGTTCACTTCCAGTACCCACATGGAGACTGTTAGTCTCTTCTGGCCTTTGAGGGCAACACACACACACAAACACACACCAGTAAACACACAGGCAATCAAAACACTTGTGAAAATAAAAATAAATCATTTAAAGAGTTCAGGGTCATCTACATCTACATAGTGAGTTCAAGGCCAGGTTGGGATACAAGGAGACCTCTTAACCCTCCTCCCCCACCAAATAAAAGCTGAGCCAGGAATGGGAGTTTGAGGCTATCCTAGCGTGTAGTTAGATCTACATAAACAAAAGAAAACCAAACAAAGCCCAGCTACAGTCTCTAAATCTAATTTTTTTTTTTTTTTGTCTTTTTGAGACAGGGTCTCCCTGTAGCCCCAGTTGTCCCAAACTCTCTATGTAGGCCAGGCTGGCCTTGAACTTGAGGTTCACCTGCCTCTGCCTCCCAAGTGCTGGGATTAAAGGTGTGTGCCACCATGCCTGGCCCTAAAAGGTATCACCTTTTTATAGTAAATACAGATTAGGGGCTGGAGAAATGACCTCTACCGCTTACTGTGCAAGTATAAGGACCTGCCTGGAGATAGACCTAAAAGCTGGGTGTAGTGTCATGCACCTGCAAGAAAATCACTATGGCCCATTTTCAAAGGATGTATATTTAGAGCTCATCAATGAATCACAGACAAGCAGGCAACTGCTTGTCTGGGCACTTTTTTTTTTTTTTTTGGTCTTTTTGAGACATGGTCTCCCTGCAGCCCCAGCTGGCCTGGAACTCACTATATAGACCAGGTATGCCTTAAACTCAGAGATCCACCTGCCTCTGCCTCCCAAGTGCTGGGACTACGGGCATGTGCCACCACGCCCGACTGTCTGGGCACTTTTTAGTTTATCATAGGGTTGAAAAGTTAGTCTGCTGTGTGACTGGGTCAGCATAGCAAGAAAGCAGGGAGAAGATCTTGAGCCCCAGGAGGATGGGGAACTTGGGTAGACTATGCTAGACAAAAGGGAGAGACTCTGAATACTAACCTATGGGAAAAAGAGGGCAGGGAATTTCTCTTGATCGGGTTTGTGCCAAACTGACATACCAGCCATTTTGGTTTTTTCTCCAGGCTGATGCCTGACTTTGAAAGGCCAAAAAAGTATGCTGAGTGTGGTGGTACACACCTTTGATCCCAGGGAGGCAGGGGCAGGAGGATCTCTGTGAGTTTAAGGCCAGTCTGGTCTACTTAGAGAGTTCCAGGCCAGCCAGGGCTACAAAGTGAGACCATCTCAAAACAAAACAAAACAAACAAATTCAGGCAATACACTCATACACATAAAATAAAAATACATATTTAAAAAATGCAAAGCTTGCTCAGCTAGAAAGTTAAAGGTAACGGGGGTAAAAACAAAAACAAAATTGCTTTTGTTACTCTGATTCTCTAGGGTTTTTTTCTTCTTTTTTAAAGATTTATTTATTTCTGGGCTGGAGAGAATGCTCAGCATTTGGGAGCACCTGATGCTATTCCTGAGTACCTTTTCAGTTCCCAGCATCCACATAGTGGCTCAAAACCACCTGTAACTCCAGGTCCAGGGGATCTGATGCCCTCTTCTGGCCCCTGAAGGCACCAGGCATGCACATGGTACATAGACATACATTTAGACAAAACACACATAAAAATAACTCTCTTAAAAATAAAGATTAAAAAAAGCTAATACAGATTAAAGAGGAACATGTTAATGACATCACAGGGATGCAGTTCTCACAGACTACAGAATTCTGGTTTCTTCAATAAAATGTTAAGAACTGAGGGAAACTTACAGATACTAAGACTCAAGATGCAATGGCCAACAAAAATGGATCCTTGATGGCAGTTGTAGGAAATTATAGGATCCGTAAGTTAAATGAACATACACTGGAATTGACTATGATTTAGAAACTGAAGTTGGGTGATGGGATGTGGGAATTTGTTATATTCTGTTTATGTTTGAAATAGATTT